AAAAAATGGATAACCATATTATATAACATTCAAGAAACTTGAAACAAATCACTCAACACAAATATTAAGAGTAGATACAAAATGCCATAGGCACATTCACTCTATAAATACCATGCAAATCCGAAGAGAATTTGGAAAAATCATATTTCAAGTTTCAACTTACCATTAGGAAGCTCTGTATCTAAAAGAACCCCAGTTTCAACAGCCCAGCAACGAGCCACATTCTCTTTTGTGTATCCTCCGCCTCCAGTAACCTGCAATAAACCAAGGTTCAACACAATATGCTAAATGGATAACTTTATCAAGCAACTGTAGTTGGCATAATCTTACCAATAAAGGCAAATTAAATTTCTTCACAAATCTTACACATTCGGAATGCCCTGTTGGAAAAAAGATTTTTACACCCTCAAAGTGTCAGGATTAGAGATAAATCAATTTCAATAAGTGTAGCAAAGACCAGAAACGCGAAACAAAGCTCAGCACTTCACTCTGAAGTAAATGATAAATAGAGAATAAATTTCACGTAGAGTAGCACCATCAATTGAGAGGTTAAAGCAGCCCAAGCGGTCAGAAGCTAGTGAATCAGCCCCACATTGCAGAACTATTACACCTGGCAGATATGTTTCAACAACCTTGGCAATAATCTACATGGTTGGAGTATATATTGTAAGAAAAATCTACAATTACTTTGTCAAAAACAACCATAACCATGTAAGAAAATAGAACWCAAAATATTCATAATTACAAATTACAGTTTTGAAAAGTCGAGTGAAGCCGGCATCATCTATTCCATCCTTCAGTGGAACATTTATGGAATAATATTTCCCTTCTCTTTCTCCTATTTCCTTCAAAACCAAACCAAAAAWCAAAAACAACTAATCAGATATTCTGTTTCAAATAATAGTAAACAAAAACAACCCAACTTTACATTAAACTACAACTGCAAAGTGAACATTGAGACAATTTGTCTTGAYGCTAAATTGCTGACTCCATCTTTCAGTACAAGGGATCATTTGGTAACAGCTTAAGTGGCTGAACAGAATGACTTGTTGCATTGCCTTTTAGTGAAYAAGTTAAAAAGGAGGTTATGAGATCCTTAATGGCTGAAGCTGAAATTGAATTGGTCACTAGAATTATAGCTTTTGCATGGCTTACAGCATTAGAGAGTATTCTATCTTTGGATCATCTGGAAGGCAGAGGTCATCAGCTTCCAAGTATTCGTGTGATGTGTAAGAGACAAGAGGAAAATGTTAGACACTTATATATTTTTTGAGGAATTAAATAGTTAGACAATTGGTGAGCTCAAGAGCGCTTCTTGTCATTCTCGGTCACAACTTGGTGGAATTAGACATTTATATATTCAATGTAATTGGGAAGAATTTACACAGGATTTCTTCTTTGATATTTTAATAGTTAGAAATCAAGTCCATCTGATGCAAAGACAGTTTTTCTTTGTGGCTGAGGATAGGARGAGCAAGAAGGCTAAAATTTTATGGAGCATAGTATCATTCACTGTTTGCTGAGTTTTTGTAAGAGAGAAGCAGGCGCAACTTGAAGAAAAATATTAATCAAGAAGGAATTTGAATACTGATATTGCTACCGGTTGCTGAATACTCTTTATGCTATGTGGTGAATCCCACCACCAATGGAGTGTATATCTAACTTTTCTTTTCTTCTAATAAAAGCTTACTTGTACCATAAAAAATGTGGTCCATCATAGAAATCATTAATTGCTGGAAATTTTATGGAACTTGGAGGCAAGATGGGAAGAGGTGGTACTTATTTGCAAAATTGGTTTTAAAAGGCACACCATCCAATGGAATAAGAGTGTGGCAGTAGGAGCAGGGATTGATGACAAGGGGATTTAAGGACTGAGTACTATGTGTAGAGTGTGAAAAAATAATTTCAATGGGTATCTTATGCTTCCAATTGGAGCAAAACTACGGACTGTAGGCATTTGGCACTAATAGAAGAGCAAAAGAGACAAATTTGAACATCTTTATGTCTTTTCTATTTTTAGATAGTTGAGGAGTATTTTGGTCATTTTATATATTACATATGATCCAGCCTAATGTCTTGATTTTTCTAGTAATTGTTTATTTTGCAAATAAAATTTCATAAACATTGGAAGTAGTTTAGGAGTTATCGAGTTTTCTTTGAGCCAAAGTATGGTGGTGGAAATTATGTAATTTCTATTTTTCTTAGTTCAAATGGGGTTGGCTACCTCTATATGTATGTATATTTTGAGTGAATAATGTATGGAATGATATTGGAATGCATTTTATGTACATTATGCTTATGATAAGTAATTCTCGTAAACCATAAAATGATACTAGTTCCTTGTCGAATGATTCCAGGTTTTCTATCTCTTCATTCTCTCTTATCTTTTCCCCAATTCTGCAAGCAGTCATTACAACCACCAACATCCCACAAATTCTTCATCAAAAGTGTTCCTTCAAATCCCTAAGGACTGAAATTGATCCATGTACATTCTTCTCTAAATTTACCAAAAACCAAAATTTTCCCAATAAGTAATCTTCATCCTTTTGCTCCAAACCATCTCCTGTTGCTTCCATATTTAAACATCCCCATAAGTTTTTTTTTTTTTTGATAAATGAGAATAGTTTTATTAATTCAAATAACAACAATTTTATCCCCATAAGTATTAACGTCCATCCTGCCAAATTTTATCCCAAAACTCCRTCTAAAACCCTAGTTTCAGGAMWTATGATAGTTTCTTTCATGAAAGACCAAACTGATCGACCTGTAGTCTTTTATATCCTCTGCTTCTTTCTTCTTCAGAATGAAGGTTATGAAGGTTCCTTTCACCGCATTCGCTACATCAGCACTAGAGTGAAACTCAGAAAAATTTGCAATTACATCAAGTTTGATGAAAGACCAACACTTCTTAAATAATTCAATTGGGAAGCCATCTGGGCCAGGAGCTTTGTCCCCAACTAACTCATTTGTAGCATACCAAATTTCCTCTTCTCAGGAGGAGGAGGCTTCAAGGGAAGCACTTTCTTGCTCTGAAATCTGAGAAAAAGTCAAGACTATCCAAGCTTGGCCTCTCCAACACATTTGCTGAAAAGAGGACTTTGTAAAACTGCACTATTGCACCTGAAACTTCCTTGTCTCCTTTGAAGTGAGCTCCCCCAATGTTAATTTGTTTGATAGTGTTAATCCTTCTCCTTGCATTTGCTACCTTGTGGAAGACAGAAGTATTGTTGTCCCCTTCTTTTAACCACTGTACCCTTGACTTTTGTCTCCAAACYATCTCTTCCATGCGAGAAAGGCGACAAACCTCTTCTCTAGCTAAAGACTTTTGCACAGTTTCTTCCCCTGATAACAGGGGCTTTTCCTCTTTAAGATCCAGGGCATTAAGTTTTTTGATTCACTGTTGCTTCCTCAACATAATACACCCCATCTCCTTTTTACACCAGTCTTTTATTTTCTGTTTAAGAAATCTTAATTTAGCCCACAGCACAAAATCAGGCTTACCTTCGAAAACTGCYTCAGGTCACCGTTCCTCTAACTTTTCTATGAAGCAGCAATCCTTGTGGTGCAACCACAAGGTTTGATGTCACTTTGATAGGCATTGAAGCAGCAATCCT